CCACCCCCACCACCACCCCCACCCCTGCCTGGCCTAGCCACCAGCCCTCCATTTCAGCTGACCAAGCCAGGGCTGTGGAGTACGCTACATGGAGATGCCTGGGGCCCTGAGCGCAAGGGTTCAGCACCCCCAGAGCGCCAGGTGAGCATCTATCTGTTGCCCTTTACCTCTTAGCTGCAGGTCCCCATGTTGTCCATTTCTCACCCAGTGTCCTCATTTATCTCCCATAGGAGCAGCGGCACTCGCTGCCTCACCCTTATCCATACCCAGCTCCGGCCTATGGCACGCACCCCCCTGGCCACCGGCTGGTCCCAACTGCACCCCTAGGCCCAGGCCCCCGCCCCCCAGGAGCAGAGAGCCATGGCTGCCCGCCTGCCACCCGTCCCCCCGGAAGTGACCTTAGAGAGAGCAGAGTTCAGAGGTCGCGGATGGACTCCAGCGTTTCACCAGCAGCAACCACCGCCTGCGTGCCTTACGCCCCTTCCCGGCCCCCTGGCCTCCCCAGCACCACCACCAGCAGCAGTAGCAGCAGCAGCAACACTGGTCTCCGGGGCGTGGAGCCGAGCCCAGGCATTGTGAGTGACAGACTGCAGGTGGAAGGTGGAGTGGGGGGGATCAGTGGAGCTCCTCTGAGGTGGCTAGAGCAGCCCTCTGACCACCCCCATCCTACACTTGCAGCCCAGCGCTGACCATTACCAAACTCCCGCGCTGGAGGTCTCCTCTCACCAAGGCCGCCTGGGGCCCTCGGCACACAGCAGTCGGAAACCGTTCCTGGCAGGTCCCACTGCCACTCCCCACCTGTCCCTGCCACCTGGCCCCCCCTCACCTCCTCCACCCCCCTGTCCCCGTCTCCTACGCCCCCCACCCCCCCCTGCCTGGTTGAAGGGCCCGGCCTGCCGGGTAGCCCGTGAGGATGGAGAGATCTTAGAGGAGCTCTTCTTCGGGGCTGAGGGACGCCCCCGCCCTCCACCACCACCCCTCCCCCACCGCGAGGGCTTCTTGGGGCCTCCGGCCCCCCGCTTTTCTGTGGGCACTCAGGATTCGCACACCCCTCCTACTCCCCCAACCACCAGCAGCAGCAGCAACAATGGCAGCCACAGCAGCAGCCCTACTGGGCCTGTGTCCTTTCCCCCACCTCCCTATCTAGCCAGAAGTATGGACCCCCTTCCCCGGCCCCCCAGCCCAACACTGAGCCCCCAGGACCCACCTCTTGCACCCCTGACTCTTAGCCTGCCTCCAGCCCCTCCCTCCTCCTGCCACCAAAATACCTCAGGAAGCTTCAGGCGCCCGGAGAGCCCTCGGCCCAGGGTCTCCTTCCCAAAGACCCCCGAGGTGGGGCCGGGGCCATCCCCAGGCCCCCTGAATAAAGCCCCCCAGCCCGTGCCGCCCAGGGTTGGGGAGCTGCCTGCCCGAGGCCCGCGACTCTTTGATTTTCCCCCTACCCCACTGGAGGATCAGTTTGAGGAGCCAGCTGAATTCAAGATCCTACCTGATGGACTTGCCAACATCATGAAGATGCTGGACGAATCCATTCGAAAGGAGGAGGAGCAGCAACAGGAGGCAGGCGTGGTCCCCCCGGCCCCCCTGAAGGAGCCCTTTGCATCTCTACAGCCTCCATTCCCCACTGACACAGCTCCAACCACCACTGCTGCCACCATCACCACCACCACGGCCACCCAGGAAGAGGAGAAGCCACCACCAGCCCTACCACCACCGCCGCCTCTAGCCAAGTTCCCTCCGCCACCCCAGCCACAGCCGCCGCCACCCCCACTACCCCCACCAGCCAGCCCGGCCAGCCTGCTCAAATCCTTGGCCTCTGTGCTGGAGGGACAAAAGTACTGCTACCGGGGGACTGGAGCAGCTGCTTCTACCCGGCCTGGGCCCTTGCCTGCCACTCAGTATTCCCCTGGTCCCCCATCAGGTGCTACCGCCCCGCCGCCCACCTCAGCGGCCCCTAGCGCCCAGGGCTCCTCACAGCCCTCCGCTTCCTCGTCATCTCAGTTCTCTACCTCAGGTGGGCCTTGGGCCCGGGAGCGCAGGGCGGGCGAAGAGCCAGTCCCGGGCCCCATGACCCCCGCCCCGCCGCCCCCACCCCTGCCTCTGCCCCCTGCTCGCTCTGAGTCTGAGGTGCTAGAAGAGATCAGTCGGGCTTGTGAGACCCTTGTGGAGCGGGTAGGCAGGAGTGCCACAGACCCAGCGGACCCAGTGGACACGGCAGACCCAGTGGACAGTGGGACTGAGCGACTGCCGCCCCCCACCCAGGCCAAGGAGGCGAGTAGTGGGGTGGTGGCAGCAGCAGGACCAGGCAGCAGCAAGCGGCGGCAGAAGGAGCACCAGAAGGAGCACCGGCGGCACAGGCGGGCCTGTAAGGACAGTGTGGGTCGGCGGCCCCGTGAGGGCAGGGCAAAGGCCAAGGCCAAGGCCCCCAAAGAAAAGAGCCGCCGGGTGCTGGGGAACCTGGACCTGCAGAGTGAGGAGATCCAGGGTCGTGAGAAGGCGCGGCCTGATCTTGGCGGGGCTGCCAAGGCCAAGCCACCCACAGCTCCAGCTCCTCCACTAGCTCCTGCACCCTCTGTCCAGCCCACACCCCCATCAGCCTCTATGCCTGGGAAGAAGGCTCGGGAGGAAACTCCAGGGCCACCCGGTGTCAGCCGGGCTGACATGCTGAAGCTGCGCTCACTTAGTGAAGGACCCCCCAAGGAGCTGAAGATCCGGCTTATCAAGGTAGAGAGTGGTGACAAGGAGACCTTTATCGCCTCTGAAGTGGAAGAGCGGAGGCTGCGCATGGCAGACCTCACCATCAGCCACTGCGCTGCCGATGTTGTTCGTGCCAGCAAGTGAGTTAGGGGCTGTCCCCCGTGAGGCTGCCAACCTGGCCCGGCAGGAGGCGCCCTTCCCCCATCACCCTGATATATCCATCCTCATTTCACTTCCTCCCACAGGAATGCCAAGGTGAAAGGAAAGTTCCGAGAGTCCTACCTTTCCCCCACCCAGTCTGTGAAACCGAAGATCAACACTGAGGAGAAGCTGCCCCGGGAAAAACTCAACCCACCCACACCCAGCATCTATGTACGTGTGCCATCTGTGCTCAGAACTGCCTCTGCCAGAGGGCTCTAAGACAGTGTTTGGGGGCTGTTGGGGTGCTCTGAGCCTAGAACAGGGCTCTGACCCCAGCCCTGTCTCCTGGTGGTCCCTCAGCTGGAGAGCAAACGAGATGCTTTCTCGCCGGTGCTGCTGCAGTTCTGTACAGACCCTCGAAATCCCATCACCGTGATCCGGGGTCTGGCGGGCTCCCTGCGGCTCAGTGAGTGTGTGGGGCACAAAGGTGTGGGGAGGGCTGCAAGGATCTGGGGCTTTGGGACCCTCTTGAGAGCCCCCACACCTGAAGAACCAGGACCATGACTATAGCGAGCTCTCCTCAGTCATAGGGCATTTTTGAAGAGTGCTCTGGGTAATGGGTTAGCTGGCCTCAGGCTTTTCTCCCATCTGTCAGTCTGTCCCCAGCAGTGGGCAAGTGGGAATGGGATGTATCTCAGGGCCTAGTTAGAGTCACTTTTGGTTTTCTTGGTGATTAAGGATGAGAAGAATACAGATTGTAGTAAACCTTGAAGACCCATGATTTGGAGCTTTATCAACCTGAAAAACCTGGGGGTTTTTCAGCCTTTTATTGTGCAAAATTTCAAACACATATGAAAGTAGAAGAAACCATATAGAAATATAAAATTCAATCTTGTTTCCTTTATACCCATAGCCCTCTCTGTACCCGTATATTCTCTAGGCTTTCACTTGACTAAATTTTTCATGGGATCCAATGATAAAGAAACTGCCATTCATTGAGCACCTACTGTGTGCCAGGTGCTGTGTGCATGTGGCGTCAGGCACACCTGGGGACTCTGGTGGAGAGGCTGAGGCTCAGAGTGGCAGTGGGAGAAAGGGGGTTGGTGATGATCCAGATAAAGGCCAGGGCCTGAGAGGGCCAACCCTCCCAGCTTCATGTGGGGCTGGGGCTCTCGCCTGTTCCTCCTGGGCTGAGCTCTGTGAAGCCTATGTTCACCCTGTCAGGCTTCATGAGTACAAAGGGACAGAGTGAGTTGGATCCTTGCTCCCTGCCCTCTGCTTCTGTGCTGACGCCCTGCTCCGTCCTCCTTTACAGACTTGGGCCTGTTTTCCACCAAGACGCTGGTGGAGGCAAGTGGCGAGCATACGGTGGAGGTACGCACCCAGGTGCAGCAGCCCTCAGATGAAAACTGGGATCTGACGGGTACGCGACAGATCTGGCCCTGTGAGAGCTCCCGCTCCCACACCACCATTGCCAAGTACGCACAGTACCAGGCCTCATCCTTCCAAGAGTCCCTGCAGGTGAGAGGGGAGCACCGGCAGAGGCCGGGGCGTGGGATCAGGGGACTTGGAGCTGGGGCTGTGGTGGGGTGGGAGGGCTTCTGGAAGGTCGCTGATCCAGGCCTGCCTATCCCTGTGGCCAAGCAGGAGGAGAAGGAGAGTGAGGATGAGGAGTCCGAGGAGCCGGACAGCACCACAGGAACCCCTCCTAGGTACCATACAGTTTGCCCCTTCCCTTCATGACTGCCTGCCTTTCCTGGGCTTCTCCACCAACCTGTGCTCTTGCTCCTGCAGCAGCGGCGGCGCACCAGACCCGAAGAACCATCACATCATCAAGTTTGGCACCAACATCGACCTCTCTGACGCCAAGCGGTCAGTGGGGCTGAGGCGCGCAAAGCTGGGGCGGGCGAGCCCAGGGGTCCGCGCGGCGGGGTAGCCTCTCACTTTTGTTGCACCCTCGCTACCGCAGGTGGAAGCCCCAACTGCAGGAGCTGCTGAAGCTGCCCGCCTTCATGCGGGTAACATCCACCGGCAACATGCTGAGCCACGTGGGCCACACCATCCTGGGCATGAACACGGTGCAGCTGTACATGAAGGTCCCGGGCAGCCGAACGCCAGGTGCCCTCCTCGCGGGGGCGCGCGGGGGCGGGACTGGTGTCGGTGCTGCTCCGTCCGCCAATGAGGGCTAAGGGGGCGGGCTTGCCGCCGAGTGCTCGGCTAGCCATGCCGTTCTCTGTCGCCCCCTCCAGGCCACCAGGAGAACAATAACTTTTGCTCTGTCAACATCAACATCGGCCCAGGTGACTGCGAGTGGTTCGCGGTGCACGAGCACTACTGGGAGACCATCAGCGCCTTCTGCGACCGGTGCGCGCCGCCTTCCTCCCCGCTAGATACCCCTCCACGTCCTGTCCCGTCCCTGGGTCCCCAGATTTCCATCTGACCCTCTGGCCACCCCACAGGCATGGCGTGGACTACCTGACGGGTTCCTGGTGGCCAATCCTGGATGACCTCTATGCCTCCAATATCCCTGTGTACCGCTTCGTGCAGCGCCCCGGAGACCTCGTGTGGATTAATGCGGGGACCGTGCACTGGGTGCAGGCCACCGGCTGGTGTAACAACATTGCCTGGAACGTGGGGCCCCTCACCGGTGAGAGGGTGGGGCGAGGTGACGGGGCATGTAGAGCCACTCAGCGGTGAGGGAGTGGGGCCCATGGAGAGTGAGCCCCGTGGCGGGTGGGCTTGGAGGGTGGCCAGCTGTGAGGGAAGGGGCTGGGGCCCAAGTGGCTGGGGGCTGTTTGAGAATCCTGTAGTGACCCTCTCTGACCCACAGCCTATCAGTACCAGCTGGCCCTGGAACGATACGAGTGGAACGAGGTGAAGAACGTCAAATCCATTGTGCCCATGATTCACGTGTCCTGGAACGTGGCTCGCACAGTCAAAATCAGCGACCCCGACTTGTTCAAGATGATCAAGTGAGGGCCCTAGTTGAGAGGGAGCCCATCTGCCCCCGCCCGGGTCCTGCTCTTGTCCTTCTGTGTGATTCTACCCCATTCTCCACCTACCTCTCTATCCTTTATCGTGTTCCCTGTGGTGGTACTGTGCTGGGGTGGCTGACAAGGGCCCAGCTCTGAGAAGCTTTATTTTCTTGTGGTCAAAATAGACAAAAACCACATGAAATTTCAACTGTGACAGATGCCCAGGTCAAGGGATGTGACCTAGGCGTGCAGCGGGGAGGCCCCAACCTGCTCCCCACGCCGGCAGCCCTGCCTTACCAACACCTCCCCCGCACGCAGGTTCTGCCTCCTGCAGTCCATGAAGCACTGCCAGGTGCAGCGGGAGAGCCTGGTGCGAGCGGGGAAGAAGATCGCCTACCAGGGGCGGGTCAAGGACGAGCCCGCCTACTACTGCAACGAGTGCGACGTGAGTGGGCCCGCCCTCCCTCTCCTGCTTCCCCGAAGGGAGGTGTCGCCGGTGGCCCTCCCTCCCCGTGACTGCCCCCTCCTCCCCGGCCCAGGTGGAGGTGTTCAACATCCTGTTCGTGACGAGTGAGAACGGCAGCCGCAACACGTACTTGGTGCACTGCGAAGCCTGTGCGCGGCGCCGCAGCGCGGGCCTCCAGGGCGTGGTGGTGCTGGAGCAGTACCGCACTGAGGAGCTGGCGCAGGCCTACGACGCCTTCACGCTGGTGAGGGCTCGCGGGCGGGCGGGCGAGGACCCGGAGTGGGGGCGCAGGGGACGCGCTTGCGGTTGGCCGCCCCGCGCCTGCCCCTGAGCCCCACGCCCGCTCTCTCCCCGCAGGCCCCCGCCAGCACGTCGCGATGAGGCCGGACGCCCCGCCCGCCTGCGCGCTCGCAGTGCGCCGCGGGGCCACCAGCACACGCCTGGGCTGGACCTAGGTCCCGCCTCTGGCCGGGAAGGGGGTCGGGCCCAGCCCTTCCACCCCATTGGCAGCTTCCCTCACTTAATTTATTAAGAAAAAAACATTTTTTTTTAAATATGAGGAAAAAAGGAAAAAAAAAATGGGAGACGGGGGAGGGGGCTTGCAGCCCCTCGCCCACCAGCGCCTCCCCTCACCGACTTTGGCCTTTCTAGCAACAGACACAAGGACCAGGCTCCGGCGGCGGCGGGGGTCACATACGGGTTCCCTCACGCCTGCCCGCCGCCCGCCCGGCGCTGATGCGCGCGGCTCGTGTATGTACATAGACGTTACGGCAGCCGAGGTTTTTAATGAGATTCTTTCTATGGGCTTTACTCCTCCCCCAGAACCTCCTTTTTTACTTCCAATGCTAGCTGTGACCCTGTACATGTCTCTGTTTATTCACTTGGTTATGATTTGTATTTTCTGTTTTTTTGTTTGTTTTTGTTTTTTGGTTTTTAATTTATAACAGTCCCACTCACCTCTATTTATTCAGTTTTGGGAAAACCCGACCCCCCGCACCCCCAAGCCATCCCGCCCGCCCTTCCAGGGATCGCCCGCTGCCGGGCTCTCCCTGCGCCCCAGTGTGTGTCCGGGCCCGGCCCGTCCGTCTCTGCCCGTCCGCCCGCGGCTCCAGCCGGGTTCTTATGGTGCTCAAACCCGCTCCCCTCCCCTACGTCCTGCACTTTCTCGGACCAGTCCCCTACTCCCGACCCGACCCCAACCCCGCCTGAGGGTGAGCGACTCCTGTACTGTAGGGGAAGAAGTGGGAACTGAAATGGTATTTTGTAAAAAAGATAAAATAAAATAAAAAAATTTAAAAGTTTTAAAGAAAGAACTATGAGGAAAAGGAACCCCGTCCTTCCCAGCCCCGGCCAATTTTAAAAACACGGACCTTCCTCTCGCCCCCTCCCCGCCTTTTTCTTTTTAAGCGTGAAACAGCCCAGGGCCAGGGCCTCACTGGGGCAGGGACACCCCGGGATGAGTTTCTCTGGGGCTTTATTTTCGTTTTGTCTGTTTTTCCTCCTCGCTGGGGCTGCGGAGGGGTGGGGGGTTTACAGTCCCGCCCCCTCGCACTGCACTGTCTCTCTGCCCTAGGGGCAGAGGGGTCTTCCCAACCCTACCCCGATTTTCGGTGATTTTTGTGTGAGAATATTAATATTAAAAATAAAATCAGAAAAAAAGTTTTGTTTGGGTAACGTGCTGGTGATAACAGGGAAGAGTACTGGGAGGAGGGCTGCACGCTGGTGATTGATGGGGAGGGACTGCGCAGACCCCGGGAGGGTGAGCCCCTCCCCGGAGGCGCCTGTGGAATGTCCAGAGCTCTGGTCCGCTCCACGGTATGGGGGGTGCCTAATCCTGGAGTCGCATTCCAGGATAAGGGGGGTGGGGAGAGGCTGGGCCGGGGGAGGAGCAGGAAAGAGGGCTATAAGGGCCGCGGTCCAGGCAGCCCAGGCGGGCGGGAGCTAGGCGGGCCATGGCGGATGTCCCGGGGGCGATGCGACCAGTTCACGGCGGCGGCAGCCCAGAGCCCCGGGACCCCCTGGACTGCTGGGCCTGCGCTGTGCTGGTCACGGCCCAGAATCTGCTGGTGGCTGCCTTCAATCTTCTCCTGCTGGCGCTGGTGCTGGGGACCATCCTGCTACCCGCTGTCACCATGCTAGGCTTCGGCTTTCTCTGTCACTCCCAGGTGAGCGTGCGCCCCGCGGTGTGCGTGTGAGTGCGCGTGTATGTGGTGAGGGTGGCGGTGGGGTCTGTGGGCCACAACTTCTCCCCACTTGGCCTGTTCGGCTTGGGCCTGACGCCTCTTCTCCTCCCACAGTTCCTGCGCTCCCAGGCCCCTCCTTGCACCGCGCACCTGCGGGACCCGGGCTTCACGGCCCTGCTGGTCACCGGATTCCTGCTCCTCGTTCCGCTGCTCGTGCTTGCCCTGGCCAGCTACCGCCGCCTCTGCCTGCGCCTCCGCCTGGCCGATTGCCTCGTGCCCTACAGCCGAGCCCTCTATCGGCGCCGGCGCGCCCCGCAGCAGCCGCGGCACACCCGGGCCTCACCAGGGTCTCAGGCCGTTCCCACACCAGGAAAGGTCTGGGTCTGAGGACCCTCAGGTCAAGAACAACCCTGACGACTGCCCTCCCTCCCAGTCGGCAAAAGGACTTGAAGCCCGGGGGTCTCCCGACCTACCCTGCCCCCACTCCTGCCTAAGCTGAGTCCTAGCGTCCCCTTGGGGAGCAGCACCTGTGGACCCAATGCTGGTGAAAACTTGCCACACCCCAGAAAACCCACTTTCCTCTCACTACCCATATCTAAATCCTGAACATCTGGGCTGGACCCTGCACACCCTCTGCCCGTCTTGTGAAAAGGCAACGCAACCTCGTGTTCGCCTTTTCTGGTGCGGTTCCTCTAGTATTTACGGGCTGCAGGGCGAGGTTGGAGGTAAAGGAATGATCACACATCAATAAAGAATTAATGAACTGAACGCGCTCCTGGGATCTTGTGAACACAGGGACGGCACAAATACTATCACTCCTGCCCCTGTGCCCAGGAGCAGGAAACAACATGGAGGGGGCGGGCTCAAGAGCGCAGACGAGAGCATCCTTCAGTCTCCTGGCCTTCCCTTACGCATTAGCCCATTCTTCCTGGCCAGACCCCAGAGCTCTGTCCCTGACCCCAAAGTCACCTCCCCATCAATAGAGTGGAGGGGGCCTGGCCTCTGTCGCTTGCCCTGCTCCCCTTGGGGACCTGAGCCCGTTCTCTGACCCCAGCTTAGAGGAACTCGGTGCTGCCAGGCCGGGGAGGGAAACAATGGGCCTTCCGGAGCAGGATGACACCCCCTCCCGCCACAATTCTGGAGCAGCAGCGTGGGAGGGAAGATGGAGGGGCCCACTCTGGGGCCTGTGGGTCAGAAGCTCAGCCTGTCCCCCATCCCCACCCCCGAAACTGAGGGAGCCTTTGGCACTCCTGGACGTCCAGGTTGAGTGCGCTCGCGACCTCGGATAAACCTCCTTCTCTAGGGGTGGGGTGCGTAATCCCTGCCCCGGCATCCCAGCTACACGCAGACAGGCCACTTCTGTTATAGGTTTAATGAAGTCTGAAAGGCACGCGCGATCGTGGTCAGAGATAAGGAGGCGCCGCCAGGCTCTCTCTCTGCACCTCAATGGAAACGATGTGGTGTCCTGGTACCATGGCCAGGCCCAGCACACGGGGTTCCCCGGCAGAGAAGGAATCTGGAAAGGAGGGTCAGAGCATCAGGGAGGCGGGCGAGCGTTGGTCCCGCCTCCTCTGAGCCACGACTGCTAGCCCCCGAAAACACGGAGTGCAGACAAGCACTGAAGGAGAATTGCCTTGCGTGAGGCTCGCCCGCATTCCAGGCGGGTGCGCAGTCCCCGGGTACTGACCCGACGGCTTGAGGAACTCCTGCGCCGAGCCCAGGATGACATTGCAGTCGCGGTCGGTGCAGAGGAAGCAGCCGACCAGTGTCCGTCCGTCTGTCATGCGAATACGCATAGTCTTGTTGAGCAGCGCCTCCAGCTGCTGTCGGGCGCGCGCAGCCGGCGAGTCCTCGCGCTCCCCGTCTGAGTCCTGCGCGGGGCGGGACACGCGCTGAGACCGCGCCGCCCAGGCAGCCGCCCACCCGCGGAACCACAGCTCCCGACAGACCGCGGGGCGCTCACACAAAGCCCAGAGGCTGCCGGGAGCTGCAGTTCCCCCTTCGTCCCCCCATCTTGCTCCCTGACTACCCCTCAATCCCAAAACCTGAGCCCGGCTAACCCCGGCGCTGGAGCTGCTTTGACGCCGGCTGCAACAGCCATTCTCCTCTCGTAGCAGCATGGTTGGTCCAGCTCCGGCCATTTGCCCCGGGGCCTCCTCTCGGCCCTTCAACTTCTGAAAAACCTTTCGGGTCCGGCGATCTGAGATCTCGCGAGCGCTCCCGACCTCTTTTCTTTCGCGAGATCACCTCTTCTTCTAGTCTCCTCGGCAACTGCAGAGATCTCGCGAGCTTCCCCTACTTTTTCAGCAGTGTGGCCCACTGAGGCCTATTACGCCGAATGTCTTAAGATATCGCGAGAAATTTAACCTTTCTGGTTGCTTACGCATCCTTTAGGAAGCTTGGAATTTAGCGAGAATATCTATTTTTATAATCGCACTCCACCTCGCGGAATAGTCTGCCCTAAATACCCCCTGTAGCCCAGGCCACTCTGAATTAAAGCAGAGTGTGTTCGCTTTCCCCTAGAACTCCAGAGAACGCAACTCAATTAACTTGAATGCCGGACGCAGACTACGTTTCCCGTGAGCACGCGAAGCCCACGCTCCTCCTCGCCTACACAGCGTTTATCTCAGCGGACGGTGGCCGGAACAGAACAATGGTTTCCATGTTAGCGGATAAACGCACTAGTCTTAGCTCCTGGACCAGAAGGCGGATGCGGTAATGCCTGCGTGCTGAGGCGCGAGGAAGCAACTAAGGGAGCCCGGTGACCAATAGAGCAAGAGCCATGCCGCGCCGGGGCCTAGTGGCCGGGCCAGACTTTGAGTACTTCCAACGTCGTTATTTCACGCCGGCCGAGGTGGCCCGACACAACCGGCCGGAAGACCTGTGGGTGTCTTACCTGGGATACGTGTATGACCTAACGCCGTTGGCACAGGAGTACAAGGGTAAGGGCCACGCTTTGTGTGTTTGGGTGCCTGGTTTTTGGGTGGCTATCATTGACGGCGGCTGCTCCTTCCCAGGAGACCTGCTGCTGAAACCCATCGTGGAAGTTGCGGGCCAGGACATCAGCCATTGGTTTGATCCAAAGACCAGAGACGTGAGTTCTGTTGAAACCTGGGGTTAGGGAAGGGACACTGGAGAGCGGGGATGGAGAGGAAAAGCAAGGGCTAGCCGGAGACCGAGATAGTGACTGCTCCCTCCCATCCCCAAACCCTGCTTTAAAGATCCGCAAGCACATAGATCCGCTGACCGGTTGCCTGAGATACCGCACCCCCCGGGGCCGCTTTCTGCACGTCCCGCCTCAGCTGCCCCGTTCCGACTGGGCCAATGATTTCGGGAAGCCCTGGTGGCAGGGGTCGCGTTACGAGGTGGGGCGGCTGTCTGCCAAGACCCGGAACATCCGCATCATTAACACGCTCACGTCGCAGGAGCACACACTGGAGGTGAGAACTGGTGCCTGGGGGCAGCTTACTGGGAATCTCAGCAAATCTCGAAGCAGGTCTTCAGGCCATCGGCTCTCCATAACCGTGGGAGCTATATTTTCCTTTCTTTTAGGGGTAACCGAGGAAAGCAGACCACCTGATCCCCAGGGTTGGGAATTTGAGGAGTGGCTGGGTCTCAGGGTACAAGAGACCCCTTCATAAGCCTAGGGCAGCAGTTCATGCATCTTAGTGATGGTGGCCCTTGGAAGCTCTTACATGCTGTGTTTTGGACAGCAATTGCAATTAGACTCTTATTAGTCTACTCTATTGTGGGGATGAGGTGAGGGAGCAGTGACTTTTACTCTTTAGTGGCATCTGTTTGTTAGAAGTGGCTGCCATAAAGACAGGTAGGACTTCGGGGCCATTCATTGCATGCCTGAGCTCCAGTGTCATTTCTGGGACTGTGGAGTGCCTGAAGCTGCTATCTGCCAAGGGAGGCACTTTGATCCCAGCTCTATCATCTTTGGGCTCCTGGCCTTTGCTTGTGTGTGCGTGCGTGCATGTGTGTGTGTGTGTGTAACTGTTCCACCCAGAATTCTGGGGGTGGGGTGCTTTCATGTTCTCCAGGTGGGGACCCTGGAATCAATGTGGGAAATCCTACACCGCTATCTCCCCTATAACACACATGCTGCCAGCTACACATGGAAATATGAAGGCAAGAACCTGAACATGGATTATACCCTGGAAGAGAATGGGATCCGGGATGAGGAGGAAGAATTTGACTATCTCAATATGGACGGTACACTCTACACACCTGCAATACTGCTCTACTTCAATGATGACCTCACAGAGCTATAGGAAAGGAGATGTATGCTCATGTAGACTCAAAACATATTTTGAGTTTGGCTGTTTCTGTGCCCTGTAGGAAAAGAAGTGGGGATGTGGGGGTGCTGGGATCTAGATCTCCATTCCACTCTGGGAACTGGCCTGTGGTTAGGGAAGGGGCACTGGAGAGTGGGGATGGAGAGGAAATGCTCGTCTGAAGTGTAAAGATCCTACTCCCCAGGTCCATTACAACTTACTCTGACAAAGTTAGGGAGAATGCTAGAAGTGACTTAATTTTTAGGAATGATACAAGAAGATGAAGTATCTTGGATTAGGGAGATGCAGAAGAGGACAGTCAGATAGAGCTCAGGCAGAACTTTTTTTTTTTTTTTTTTTTTTAATAATTTTATTTATTTATTTTTTTCCCCCAAAGCCCCAGTAGATAGTTGTATGTCATAGCTGCACATCCTTCTAGTTGCCGTATGTGGGACGCGGCCTCAGCATGGCCGGAGAAGCGGTGTGTTGGTGCGCGCCCGGGATCGAACCCGGGCCACCAGCAGCGGAGCACGAGCACTTAACCGCTAAGCCACAGGGCCGGCCCTCAGGCAGAACTTCTTGATGGTAAGAGAAAGAGAAGTCCTACCCAGGGATGAGGGATGGCAGAACTTTTTTGGCAATGATGGACATGCAATGGCTGCAGGAAGATGGGATTTACAAAGACAGGAATAGGAAATGTCTATCACTGGCTGGACAAAACTGGCTTATGTCCCTTCTGAATAGTATCTGGCAGCTGAAACCCAAGGGGAAGGAAGTGAATGGTTACCAGGTAGTTCAGGCTAGATATTATGCTATGTGCTTTATACACCCTGTTTACTACAACTACCCCACAAGATGGATACCATTACCACTATTTTACAGGTAAGTCTTTTGAAGTTTAGCAAGATTTAATAGCACAGAGGTACACTAGTTACTAACCAGGATGCAAACCCAAGTCTGCCCATTTCCAAAGTCCATGTTCTTTTCAATGTAAAGGGAATATTGCAGTGTCCTAGGCTCACTGCACAATGGGAACCTGTAGGCCTACTGTGTAGTCAGCTCTTTTTTTCCTGCAGTTATTGTCTTTGGAAGGGAGTTGGCAGAGTTCTGCAGTACCAGAGAGGAAGCAGGGAAGGCTAAGTGTTAGCTGAGCAATAGCTGTGAGGCTATTTCCTGGTTAATCCCACAGCAAAATTTTTCTTCTGACTTTTTCGAGGCAAAGAGGTGGGTATACAGTGACTCCAGGAAAAACTAGAGTGGGGAAAAGGCCTTCGGATTGGGACACTTTGGATGAAGGAGCAAAAAGGAGGCAAATCGTACAGTATATTCATGATGGGCCTGTGCCTCTTAGGTAAGGTAAGTAAGGCAGGGTGGACTTTGCTAGATGGTAACTCTACAAGAGGGGGCTTGACAGGGGTAATGTAAAGAGAGGAGCTAAGTCAGTCAGAAAACTCCTGGTGACCAAAAGAGAACCACAATCAGGGGCAGTAGCCAGATTTGGTCCCCTTTAATCTAAGCAGGAGTGGGGAATGCGAATGACAGGTGTATTTCCTGACAGTAGCAGGCAAAAATGAATCAGGGAGAGGTTAGCGCATCATCCTGGCAGGGGGCACCAGGGCCCAGCACAGGGCAAGGTGGCGCCTGTGAGAAACTGGGTGGGCTGCATAGGAGTTTTCTGAGGGGCTGACTATGAAAGGCTTGGACAAAGGTGGAGACATCTGTACTGGCTTCAGCAGTATCTGAACTCACTGTGAGACAGAGGGCTTCCATTCAATCCCATGTACTGCAAGAGTCCATGAATTATCTGAATCATTTTGATGTTTAATCAGCTCTGCAGTTGTTTCATACACATGAAACAACTTGTGTATGAAAGTTGTCTTGTTTGTCAATTAAACCCTAAACTATTTGAGAACCAAAGCTATGCTGTTGCTCTAGCACCAGACTCGGGGCCTGTGCCTATGAGATCTGCCCAAACCCATCCCTCTTGCAGAGGATCCTGCTTCAGTACCTCTTGCCAGCAACACATCCCTCTCTTCACACACCCAGACACTCTCCAAGTAGATTCGATCTCCTAAATGTCTCTGGAATCCATCTTCTTTTCTCCAAGCTGTCATCACCTCTTTTCTAGACTGCTGTGGAAACTTCCTAAGCAGTCCTCCCGTTTCCACTTCTGTCCTCCACACAGAGCAGTCAGAGTGAGCTCTGAAGAACAAACCTAAACATCTAACTTTCCTCCTTCATCTTCTTCAGTGGCTTCCAGTTGCTTTTGGAATAAAGTCCTAAATTCAAAGACTTTGCATAAATCAGCCTCTGCCTACCTTGCATATCTTATCTTGCATGACTCCTCTTGGTTCCCTATGTTCCAGCCACACTGACCGGCTTTCAGTTCGTTTCATTAAACATCTTCTTGCCTCAGAGCTGTCACACAGACTATTCTCTCTGCTTGCAATGCTCTTCCTTCCATTTTCCACCTAGCTGATTCTAAATATTTCTTCCTCAAGGAGGCCTTTTCTGATTTCTCGGTGTAGGTCAAGACTTTCTGTTAAATCGTCTCTTAGCACTACCATGCATATTTCAGAGCACTTATTACAGCTGTAATGTTAAAATTATGGATGTAATTGGCTGGCTGGCTGGCTGCTAGATTGTAAGCTCATGAGGGCAGAGATTGTGTCCATCTTGTTCACTGCTGTATTCCGTGTTGGGCACATAGTTGCTGCTCAATAAATTTTGATTGTATGAACTCAAATGTTAAGTGAATTCATCTGTCTGTAATAACTGGTGGATGGGATGGTGTGTCCTACGAGGCAAGGTGGGACCAAGAAATAGGATGTCTGGATCCTGTGCTGTAATCACAGGTTTCTCTTTCCTTGCTCCCCATAGATGCAAGACCAAAAATTACTCCAGAGAGGTTCCTTCTCTCACCAGGGATTTTTGGGGCAATCTGTCATTTCCCCATATGGCCACCAGGTGGCTGTAATTGCCTAGAGAGTCAGGGAGAGGGGACTGGAGGAGGGAAAACACTTCCAAGTTCTAAAGAGGTTAGGATTAAAGGTGGCCTGTTGAAATTTATAGGTGGGAGGGAAGGATCAGAAAAAAAGGAAAAACCACATGGCCACTATTCTATTAGCATTATATTTATTCCTGTTTTAAATTTTTTCCACAAGCACATGCCAGGAAAGTAGTGTAGTTTGACAAAATTCATGGGATAGGATAAAAAAAAAAAAAAAAAAAAGAAAACGAAAAACAAACTCATGGGATAGGAGAAGTAGGGGGTCTGATTACAGGTGTGGGTGTTAATGAGGTGAAGCACAGAGCTGTGGAAGGAATCAAGACCACACATTTGTAAGATAATGGAGTACGTTCATTTATGAATACTTATTTTCTTTTCTTTTTTTTTGTATAAAGCTTTCCACTAGGCACCACTTTGTTCTCTAAATATCCAAGACTGGATATTTGCATGACGAGTATGTAAATAATGCCTTGGCCTAAAACCTAGAAAGTAAATAGAACATTAGTGTAGAGTCCAAGTCCTCTTGTGATCTCTATAGTTTTGAAGGGAGGTGGGGTGGCAGTTAGAATATTAAAAGGAAAGCTGCCTGTTCTCAGTAAATCACAACAGCTTCAAAGGACTCAAATGGCAAATATTCCCCACAAGCCTCAGTGCCTACATGCACACATCACTGGGGGTAAATGAAGAGGCATATATTTCTTGTAGGAAGCTTGCCTGCTCAGTGGGATAAAATATACACACGTGAAAAGGTAAATTAAAAAAGTACATGATAAAGGACAAAACTATGGTATAGAAAAAGTTTCCACCCTCACGGCAAATCACAGGTGGATTCTTAACCTGGACCTCCAGAAATGGTTTCTAAATATTGTGTGGGTGTATGTGCAGAGATGTATTATTTTGGAAAAGGGTTCTACAATTTCCATCAGAGTTTCAAAATGGCCCAACCCCTTGTCCCTGAAATAGCGTGCACGTGCGCACGCGCACACACACATAATAATTTAAAGACCCTCAAAAATAAAATATCAAAGGTGACAATACAATGTGGTCCCAGGATTCCTGGTATCTGTCTCAATGGTCTACTTCAACCTGTGTTACACTTGTGTTCCAATAGCAGCAATTCCTAAAGCTTTAACCCTTGAGGCTAAGTTTATGACTAGTCTGAAACACTTTACTACTGTCCCAAATTCTGATCTGGACGTACCATGGAGCTGAGTGAGGGGATCCATCATTTGGGCTTGGGACCATAATACCCAGTCATGACATCAGGACAAGGTTAATGCACCCAGCTCCCACAGCTGAGCTTAGGTAAACCACATAGATGTGTTGGTATTGGGAGAATAGCCGCTTCATGATGGATCAGCAAGAGCACATGGAGGTTTAGTTGTACAGAAAGCAGACAGATTTGCAAACCTGAATGATCTTGGAAGTCAAAGATTAGGCATTCAAAATACTACATATAAATATGCAGTCCAAGTACTGGGTATTCTAGGCACATGGGAAATACTAAAATAAAGCTGGTGAATGAATAAGTGAAGTAAGACCACTAAAGTGGGGTCAAGGGAAAGAAGGTTGAGATGAGGAACAAGATGGTAGAGAGACTGCTAGAATTAAGTCTCTCTTGTACTGGGAGCAGCACAGCTCCTGCCCTTTGGGAGCTTAATGTTTAGTGGGAACTTGGGCATCCAGCTTTGATCATCTGACTTACTCATCGCTGTATCCCCAACAGCCACATAATGCTGGCACACAGTGGCAATAAATACATTTGTTTCAGGAATGAAAAGTACACGTAACCCCCACTATTTGAAATGTCTGAACTCAGGAGCCAAATGGATTCAGATAATATGGTGGCCCATGTCACTTGCTGACTATCACTATTTTAAGAGAGCTGAAGAGATCTGGATAGTGAATAACATTTCTGCTGATAAATTCTTCCAGTCCTCCTATAGAATAGTATAGGAGGAAAGTAAGTAGTCCAGTATAGTCCAGTAAGAAAGATGAAATATTCCCTTGCCCTTAATGAACAGCCTAGAGAGGTAGATAATACTCCATCATAGTTTATCAGTTGAGAATGTATTTGGCTGCAAGTAACAGGAGGCTGACTGCTGGGGCTTAACTACAAAGGATTAATTTTTTCACATAATAAGAAAGTTTGTGGTGTAGTGACTCCACTATATAGTTCGTTAATGTCTCGGGTAGTTCCTGTTTTGGTCCTCATGTTTATCACCTTTTTGGCTGCTCCACTTTTAGCCTGTATTGTGGGCAGGAAGGAGGAAAAGGCTAAGGAAGAAAGGGCAGTGCCTATATCAAAGCAAAAATTTTCCCAGACGTCCTTAGCAGACCTTTGACTATGTCTCATCAATACGAAATGCATTACACAATGACCCTTGGGTGCAAGGGAATCTGGGACAGTATTTTATATTGACATCCACAACAAAAGCAGGGTCCACTACTATGAAAGGAGAGAATGGATACTGGGTAGGAACTAGTGATATCTTCCACAAGAAGTGTGAAAGTGGTATTCATCCATTCATTAACAAAAAAAGTTATTAAGCACTTTGTGCCATGCACTGTTCCAGGTATGAGGGATATAGCAGTCAATGAGGCAAGGGTCCTGCTTTACTGGGACTCATACTCTGGTGGGATAAACAATAAAAAGTAGTCAAGATAATTTCAGATAGTACTAAAAGCTATATATGTATATATATACATATACATATATAAATACACACACACATATATATACATATACCAAAAGTGCTATGAAGACAGAAACAGAATCACATGAGCGTGATAGCTGAATGATCAGAGGCTTGCCTGAGATGATCACAAAGACTGATCTGGATTACCTATAGATCTGCGTTTACCTGCATTAATCACTTGATTCTCACAACAAACTTAAGTACTGTTTTTATTTCCACTGAAAAAAGGAAACTGAAGCACAGAGAGGTTGAGTAACTTGCCAAAGGTCATACAACTAGTAAGTAGCAGGGGTGGGCTTTGAACCAAGACAGTCATAGGCCACCCACTTAACCAGTGAGTTGTGCCACCTCCCTGCATGACAAACATAGGATGCCGTTCCAGTTACCTATCGCTGCTTAATAAAACCATCCCAAGACTTTAGTGGCTTAAAACAATCACCATCATTTATTTTGCTAATGAATCTGTAATTTCGGCAGGGTTCAGTGGGGACAGCTCATTTCTACGCCAAAAGGTCTCAACTGGGTGGTTTGCTGGAAGCTGGAGGATTCACTTTCAAAATGGTTCACCCACATGGCTGGCAAGTTGATGCTGGCTATTGGTTCTTCTCCATGCGGCCTCTACACAGGGCAGCTTGGGCTTCCTCACAGCATGGTGGCTGGGTTCAAAGAGCAAGTATCCCAAGAGAACTAGGAGGAAGCTGAATCACCTTTTATAACCTCACTTCAAATCCAAAGGGAGGGAACTAGACCCCACTTCAGTGGGAAGAGTATCAGAGTTACATTGTAATAAGAGCATACTGGAAGTGAGATAGTATTGTGGCCATTTTTAGAAAATACAATCGACCACAGATGCATTAGAGGCAAAAAGGAGGGATATGTAATCAGTCTTGGGTGGAGTGGAGAGGTGATCTTTGAAGGGTTGTGTGTGTGTAGGGAGCAGGGTGTGGATACTTGAGCTGAGCCTTTCTTGAAAACCTAAGTTGGAATCCTGGCCCCATTATCCATTTATTCAATTCATTAATATAATACCGAGCATTTGCTATGTAGTAAGGCACAGTGCTGGACTCTGTGGATATACTAAATTAATGACATAATTTCTGCCCTCAAGGAGCAGTTTAGTGGGAGATCCAGAGAAGTTTGTGAGCCTCTTAACTTGTCATCTTGCTTCCACTTGTACATAGCAGCCAAGGGAAGCTTTTAAAGTTCCCTTGTTTAAAGTCTTCAAAGGCTTCCTACTCTTCTTAAGAGGACGTAGAACACCCTTACCATAGTCCACAAGGCCCTGCGTGATTTGGCTCTTCCAGGCTCTTCTTTGTCTCCCATATTAGCCTTTTAGTTTCTGAAACTCCTCCAAGCTCCTTTCTGTCATGGCTTTCTCATATACTGTTCCTCTGCCTGGAACACTCCACCTACACTCATCATTGGGCCAACTCCTGCTCCTTAAAGTCTTTGCTTAAATGTCACTTTCTCAGAAGTCTTCCCTGATCCCTTCAATTATGTCAAATGTGTCATCATGCCCTCTCAGGTGTCCCTGAAACATCATAATCACAATCAAAATATTTAGTGTAATTCGTTGTTCAACATCCATCTACTTCCTTCTTAGACTATAAGCTCCAGGAGGACAAGGACCATGTCTCTTATTTGCCACTGAATACCCAGCCCCTAGCCCAGTGCCCAGCCCAGAGCAGTTACTCAATCAATCCTCATAAAATGAACAAATATAATGTGATAAATGCTACAAGAGGGCTAAGTATGAAATGCCTCAGGAACATCTAAACCCAGTCTGGGGAGATCAGGGAAGGATTTCTGGAGAAGCATCATCTCAAGCTGAGACCTGAAGGACAGGGAGGAGGTAGCCAAGTGAAGAGAAGGGAGAAGGTAAGGAGAAAGATTAAATAGAATAAATTGTGCACAGTTTAGAGGTGAGCGAGTGTGTGGTGAGCTCAGAAGCAGAAGGAAGTGCAGCACAGTAAAGCTAAGAGGAGATGGGAGGCCCAGAGAGGGTGGGCAATGAGAGACGTTGAGGCCAGACCAGGTCATGCAAAGCTTTATAAACCAGGTTAAGTTTTTTTTTTTGAATTGAGATATACTTCACATACTATAAAATTCACCCTTTTAAATTTTACAATTCAGGGGCCGGCCCTGTGGCATAGCGGTTAAGTGCGCGCGCTCTGCTGCTGGCAGCCTGGGTTCAGATCCTGGGCGCACACCGATGCACCGCTTGTCAAGCCATGCTGTGGCGGCGTCCCAAATAAAAAAAAAAGTAGAGGAAGGTGAGCATGGATGTTAGCCCAGGGCCAGTCTTCCTCAGCAAAAAGAGGAGGATTGGCATGGATGTTAGCTCAGGGTTGATCTTCCTCACACACACACAAAAAAATTTTACAATTCAGGTTTAAGGGTTTTATAGAAGAATGGCATGATCGGATTTGCATTTTTAAAAGATGACTTGACTACAATGTCAAGAGAGAATGGATGTGCAGGGGGAGAAAAAGGGAGGGGGAGAAAGTGGAGACAGGGAGACTGATGCTATTGCAGCAGTCCAGGGAAGAGAGGAAGGTAGCTGGAACTAAGTTAGTGGCAGTGGAGATCAGAGAAGATGAACTGAAGTTAAGGGAGAATTGCACAACTTGATAATTTACTGAGAGGGGGTCTGAAGCAGATGGAGGAGTCAAGGATGACACCCTAGTTTCTGACTTGGCTGACTGAGAGGATGATGAGTCCACTGACGGAGAAGGGGAATGCTGGAAGAGGAATTTGACTGCGGAGGAAGATGATGTATTTTTAGTTAGTTGTATGAAGTAACTTTGGGGCATACAAATACAGATGCCCAGATCTTACTGGATATATGGGACTAGATCCTAAAGAAAGCGCTGGACTAGAGTTACAGGTGTGGGAATTATCAGCAGAGAGTTAACTGTTGCCAAAGTCAAGGATGAGACCACCTGGAGAATGAAGTGTGATCTAAGTGGAGGCCCAGCGGGGGAAAAACATCTAAGGGAGGGGAGGAGGAGAAGGAGACTCAGAAGGAAGAGCCAGAGTGGTGAGCGAGACCCAGGAAAATGGTGCCACGGAAGCCATAGAGAGAATATTTAAGAGGAGGGAGTGGTAAACAGTGTGAAATGTTGCATAGAGGTCAAGTAAGATGAGGACTTGAGTGTCCATGGATAGCAAACAGCAAAATGGTGGTGTGTTAGAGAAGTCAGGCTGTAGTTGGATGACGTGTGAATGGGATATTCATAGAAGAAATCCAACCGCAGAAGGGAGGAATTTTCTGGCTTTGTAACCATGCACAGACTACTTTGCTTCCTTTAGATTCCATTTTTTCAACCATAAAATATGGATAATAGAAGTAAGGTTTCACTAAGGACAAGAAGCATAAACCAGGACATGGTCACTTAAAAAGAAGCTATTTTACAGTGCTGTTGAGAAGATTAAATAAGATAAGGTTAAGGGAAAATACCCAGCCATATAAAAGGTCTTTGGAATAGGCACTCGAAAATTTTAGATTTCTTTCCCTTTCTTTGTGCTAGCCACTCTTTATTTAGTAATGAATGCTTCCCTTGGGACATCCTGAGATTTGGCATTGTTCGGTATCCAGGTAACATATGTCATGATTAGAAAATTAGTAGACCATATCTATGAGTAACATTTGCTTTCCAACCTAACAATGGTGTTTGTGCCTCCATTAAAATTATTTGAGTCCAGTAAAATGCGGTTTATTTTGTATCATGCCAGAGTTGAGCTTATTTATAGAAAGCAAGGAAATGGGGCCAACTGTTGGGAGCAAGAGTAACTAAAGTCAGCCCTTTGCTCCTTCAGTTTAAGGTGCTATTCATAACTCAGGTCGTGAATCCTCACCTTGCAATCATCTTAAGTGAATATCTCTTTAGTGAGAAATGGCTAATAGTAAACTTGTTTAGAATAAGAGCTACCAATTATCGAGTGCCTTATAGCCAGCCCGTGCTTTATGTAAGTTCAGTTAGCTCACTTATCCTCACTACCACCACGCAAGGGAGGCATTAATATCCCTGTTTTACAGTGAGGGAGCTGAGACTTGAGGGATAAGTAGCTTGCCCAGGGTCACTGTTAGTAAGTGGCAGAACTTGGATTCCAGGTGCTACCTGACTCCAAAGCTCAACTTCTTTCTCTAATAGAGGGAATGGATAACTTCATTATTTGGCTCTGGAATACATTTTAGGAGTGATACAGTTTTGGAATATAGAATCTTTAAAAAAAATTACTTGATTTTAATTTACTAATATCTAATTTAGTCTGAAATTAAAATGATTCTCCTTTTAATTTCAGAGAGCTAGACAGTGAAAGGGCTCATGAGCAAGCAGAGGGGCAGGGGGAACAAGACAAATCTATAACTTGAAAGATGGTTACGCAGCTGAGAAAGGTGTCAGGGCAATTCTGCTGGGGTTTGACAACAGATGGAAAGCAAGGCATTTCGAGCTGGCCAGTCAACAGAAAACTATAAGAAATTGTTAAAAGCCAATGTCAAAAATGAAAAAATGGTTGGTTTTTGCCATTTTGTATAGGACTATTACGTTCAGTTCCCATCATAGTGGTCAATCAAAGCAGGTCTAAAAAACTGGGAGAAGACAAAGACAACAATTTGGGGCTTATATCTTCCTCTTCTTCTTAGGGTATCTCCTTTACTCAATGAAGAGCAAAGGAAAGAATTTAGCTAAAAGGCAGCAACAGAAGTATGAGCAGATGTGAGATCACAGAAGCCAAGCAAAGACTATTTCAAGAAGGTGGGGTGGTCAAGTTAAGAACTCAAAAATATCCTCTGAATTTAGTAACCAAGGGATTATTGGTAATTTGGTAAAAGCAGTTTCAGTGGTGTGGTGGGGCAGAGGGTTGGAAAACGAGTACGCAAGTAAAGTAGACAATGAGTATAGATAATTCTTTCAAGGAGCATGGCTGTGAATGGGCATAGAGAGGTAGGGTGGCAGCTAAAAGGGTCCAGAGTATCTCTTTCAAATGTAGGGAGATTTGAACACATTTAAATGTGGTTGGGAAGGAGCAAGTAGAATGGGAGATAAAGGAGAGTTAGGAGATCACTGTTAACCATTAGTCCCTGAGAAGGTGGGAGGGCCAGAAGCCAGAGCCCAAGTGTAGGGATTAGCTTCAGACAGGATAGAAGGGAGGATAGGACAAACATGCATACAGTTAAATATGTTGGTTTAGGGTCAGTATTTCAAGGGAGTTTTCATCTGATGATCTGTCTCCTAGAAGCAGATGATAAGATTTTCTACTGAAGTGTAAGATGGAGGAGGTTTGAGGAATTTGAGGAAGGTCTGAAAAAGTCACCGTGGAGCACTGAAAGCAAGCTGACTAAGAAAAAGGATTTCTGAGCAGGCACACTGGTCTGAATAGTCATGGTGTTTTCTTCAGCAATACTTTGCACCCTGGATGGAAATAGACAGCCAAAGTGATCCAAGGTTAGGGGTTTGCAGGAGGGAAAAAAGGAGGGCACTGAGACACTGGCAGGAGAGTGGTTGAAATGACAGACCATGGAATCTAAGTTGGATAGGGAAGTTGGATAGGGAAGACAGAGTGGAGCTGATTAGGAGAAAACGGAAGAGTTAAGGGGATTAGAGTGTCTCATGGGTCCAAGAACAGTGGATAAATGAGAGAGCTGGAAGGATAGAAAGTTGTAGCCAAACTAGGGGGCTTGAATGTAATATTTCAGAAGAGGTCATATTTTTTCAGAAGAGGTAAGAATTTAATATTTCCCAGAGGTGGGAGACAGAAGTGGGATGGAGAGAAAGGTCTCTGATTAGGAAGTTGAGGGCAGGACTGAGCCAGGTATCAGTCTTCAATGAATGAGGGGAATGATGAGGAGGTAAGCAGATGACAGCTAGGGAGAGAAGTGGAGGGGTATACAGCCAGACTGCAGGAGCCTTAGAGAAACAGGGGCTTTTCACACAAGACGGCAGAATCTGGAAGCAACCCTAGAGATAAAAATTAGATTCCTTCAGGTATGTGGTCTGTTTCCAGGTTTATTTTCCCAACTATTCTAAACTATTTTGGGAGGACTACCAAGCTTTATGACCAAATGTTTGATACTCACTATCTCCTATTCTCTCTCTTTCCATATAGTTTTTGAATTAATTTTTTAAACTTAGTTTTCTTTTTCATTATAGAATATGTGCTCTTTGCAGAAAATTCCAGGTAGAGAAGCATAAAGATGCAAAACAAAAATCACTCTTATTCCTATCACTCAGCAGAAACCAGTATTAACATTTTAACCACTTCCTTCAAGTATTTTCCTACATGGTTACGATTATACTACATATATTATTTTATATTGTTTTATGCAATTACACTAGATAAGCATTTGCTCATGTCATTCTGTCAATGTGGCAAAAGGTTAATCAGTAAATCTAAGTGAAGAGTATGCTGGTGTTCACTGTACTCCTTCAACTTTTCTGTAGGTTTGAAATTTTTCAAAATTAAGAAGTTACAAGCGGGAAGGAAACTAATCTCAAAGAAAAAGCAAGGGAATGATAACACAAAATTCAGGATACTGGGGGTCGGGACAGGAGAGGAATGTGGAATATGGAAAAACATATGAGGGTTTAAAGATATTACTAATATTATATTTATTAAACCAGATGATAGATATGTGTTCATTTTAATATTCTTTGTGGTTGATATATGTTATACATATACTTTTAACCTACGAAATAGTTCTCAATAATAGATAAAATTTTTAGATTAAAAACTTCCATAGGGGCCGGCCCCATGGCTTAGCAGTTAAGTACGCGACCTCCGCTGCTGGCGGCCCGGGGTTCGGATCCCAGGCGCGCACCAATGCACCGC